ATCTTGGATTCTATAATTTTGGTGAATATTTTTGTCATATTTGGTAAAAAGTGATATTTTCGACTTCTTGTTAAAAACCAAAAGTTCAATTGCTTTGATATTACATATATAGATACTACATGTAGACCTTTCTCAGATTTGTTCATTTCGTGATGATATCTTCAATTCTCTAATTTTGGTGAATATTTTGGTCATTTTTGGTAGAAAGTGATATTTTCGACTTCTTGTTAAAAACTGTAAGTCCGATTGCTTTGATACTATACATACATGTATTGTTCATTTTCTGATGATGTCTTCAGTTCTTTAATTGAAATGTGCATTTCTAACAGCGAAGCTATCTCAGCCGATAGGCTGCTTGTTGTATTATTTATTTCATTTTATTTGTTTGTTGACAGTATTGGTGGATTTGAAAGTGACATATCTGAGTGTTGTATATGTATGGATGCCAGGACGGATATCATACTCACATGTAATCACATGTACTGTGAGAAATGCATTGACAAATGGTATGTACCCATACACAGTCTGGCACACTTAGTAGGTTACTGATTTTGTTTGTTTTTCTCCTTGAATTTTGTGTGTCTGACAGTACATTTTGTCATATTCCATGTTTAGGGCTACATCAGAGAGCTTTATGATCATCTCCACAATACTGTGTTCTATCCTGTCAAACCTTTATTAAAGGAAACATCAACCCAAACAACATAATAATCCCTAAAAAAAAGCTCCACAAATGTAGGAGAATGCAACCTACAGTATTTTTATATCACTTTTCATTCTCTAGATATTCAACATACTTTACCCATAATCCCTTGCTTGAAAATCAAGATGGCTGATTACATAATACTGATGAAAAGTTGAATATCTAGAAAATGAAAAGTGATATAAAAAAACTGTAAATTGCAATTCACTACGTTCAATTACCCACCATAGACTCCGGTCAGTCAAAATGACTATTTTGAACTGTAGGCATTAATCAGCGATTCTGCTGGTGACGGAGAGATAGAATCTAGGTCAGGGGAAGCCCCATGACCTCAAGATTCTTTTACCCCTTACGTCACAAACCCACGTGACCGAGGCCACATGGCAATGCCATAGGTAGCCGTCCATCACTCTTCAATTCTCTACGCCTCGTCGGGGAATGATTCTGAGCGGCTCTGCCTGGCTTTGTTGCTTTTTCCTGTCCGGGTTTCTAGCGTGGGTCGTCGCCGCAACCGCGGCATCCGATATTCTAGCTGGTAGGATAAGTTTTTCTTGTCTTTTTACCCTTGTGTCGTTTTCCCCTTTGTGTGTTATGCTTTTCCACAACAAAGAAATCAAACCCGGCGCCACTACGTAGTCACATGTTGATCTCATGGCGGCACCTTTTACAACTGTAATTCGTTTCCCTCATGCATGTTGTGTTTTATTTTCAATGTATTTAGCAATATATAGATGTAATGACAGCATCAGGGCTCGCTGCCGTTTTCTTTCCGGTCTCCTCGTGTTTCGAATCGACCGTGCAGTGGTTATATTCAGATTTTACCAGCATAGAACCCGCATCCGAGATACTTTGTCGTACCTACGTGCGGGTTTCGGGGTTTTTGCATGGAAGCGTGTTTTTTTCTCTGGAGTTCTGAGGCCTAAGTTTTTCTTTCAGAGCCATCAAAT